TGCGTCAAGCTTGAGCTCAAGCAGCCATGGCTTCCCCTCTCGCTGCTGCGTCTTCTTCATCATACGTGTTGCTGCTGCGTCGCGCCACTGCTGCCATGGCTGTGTCCACCTACTGCTGCCCGCTGCTTCTTCTCCTCAAGATGTTGCCATATCCAATGTTGCTGCCCGTCGTGCTGCTCCGCCACCATTGTTGCCCTCGATGTTGTTTCACCATCCAAACACGTTGTCTGCTTCGTCTTCTTCAATCGAGTTTCTACTTCAGTCAAGCTCCATATTCAGCAGTAGCAGCTGCTACTGCTTCACTTCTGCCATGGTTGCGTCTTCTGCTTCACATCTAGCTGACCTTCAGTTGCTTCTTATTCGGATCGTCTTCGTCGTCGAATTGTTTTGGTGCGATAATCGCTTCCGGACAGATTTGTTTTAATTCAAAGTTCTTCGTCGTTCCGATCCGGTTAGTTGATTTAAATTTCGTTTCTGTCCGTAATTTGTTTGATATTTTTCGGATTTGAAATCAAATATGTTTGATATTAATTTCATGTTCATCGTTTTTTTCTTCTTTTTTTTATCTTTTAGTTTTGTTTTCATTCATTTTTCTTGTTTATTTTTAGGTAGAAATTGATTAGTTTAATTATAATGTTGTTAGATTTGAGTTTAATATTCAATTAATTATTTTTCAGTTTGTTATATTAATTTAAAAGGATTTAATTTTAATATAGAAGAGTGTTAGTTTAAATCGCTTGAATCCGTTCTTTGTTATTTAATTTGGATATAATTCATATTCATTTTTTTGTTTGAAGTTCATGTTAATTCAGTGATTTAATGTGAGATTATGTTTTAAGTTTTTAGTTTGAATCATGTATCTTTGTTATAATTTTGTTGGATTTAATTTAAAGATCAATTGATTATTTGAGTTTAGTGATTTGAATCTGTTTATTTATTTTGTTTAAAGTTTAATTTGAATTTGAGTTCATGCTTTGAATATATTTGTTTGTTATTGTTGGTGAATCTGAAAATAGGTTTGTTGTGTAAAAACATTGTTCAGTCAAAATAATTCAAGTTATTTCTTTGTTGTTCATCATATAGTTTGAGTTTGTTCATAAAATCTGATTAGGAATTGGTTATAGCTGCTATATTTTGGTTAGAATTGATTAGTTGAACTTGTTATAGCTGACGGGATAGATTGGTAAATTACAATATTTTCAGGGTCAAAATGGTAATTTCAGTAAGGTTAGAGGGGTATTTTTGGAATTAAAATTCTGAACAATTATTTATTTTGAGTGCTCTGTCAATTAGGATTAAAATAATCAATAATGGGAGGACAAGATATAATGGTGGGGAATAATGCAATTATTTAATATAAGCATGGGGGACAAGATATAATGGGGTATTTGTTTAATATAGTGGGGGACAAAACATTAGGGGACAAAACATTAGGTAGTGGGATTAAAAGGGGGATGAGTGGAAAGATAGTGGGTTTTATGTTTAAAAATGCTGAAAGATGGTAATAAATAGGGGGACTTGATCAGATTTAAAAAAAAAGAACAAAAAAGAGGACAGAGAGAAAAAGATACAGAGAAAAGATAGAGAAAAAAGGGGAGAGAACTTGAAGAGGATTTTGGGAGAACATTTTAGGAGAACATTTTAGGAGGAATGCATTCTGAAAATCTGAAGAGAGTGTGGTAGAGTTTAAAAAGAGAAAACAAAAACAAAGTGAGAAACGAGTTTAGTTTCGGGTTTAATACACGCGCGGGTTGTTGTTGTTTAGTTTGTTTACATACTTTTGGGTTTGTTCTATTGAGTTGTTCGGTTTTCTTCAAAGTTTTCTGGGCCTTGAACCTGGTTCGAATTGCTGTTGTTGGGTTGTTGTTGTGTTGCTGTGTATTTACACTACTGCTGCTTCTACTGATCTTCATCTTCTTTCCTTGCTTTCCAAATACCAGGTACACAAACTGATACACTGGTTCATCTTGTAAGCCACTCGAAGCATGAATGCAAAAATGAGAAAGATTTGAAGTTGTAATTTAATGTAGTCTTTTCTTTCTTTTACTGTCTGTATATAGAATATTATATCCGCTGTCCATGTAAACTTTTTAAACGACTCACTTTCGAAACTTGACTATAATAACTCGAAAGTATGTAAATAAAGTAGGACATTTTCTTCATTTATTTTAGAGAAAACGGAAAAAATAAAAAATGTAGTCATTCTAAGATTATCTTTTAAAAAAAACAATAAAAAATAAAGAGACGAGCATCGCCAAATAAAATGCAAATTGCGGGGCCCTCACAAAATGTATGTGTTAATTACTTAGAACTCGGGATAGGACGCTTAGCGAACTCCACGGCCTTACCCAAAATAACAACACACTAGTTTCTTTAGGACGCGTCTTAATTAATCCTACTTTCTTAAACTCGGGTGCACATTTATGT